GGGAAAAGGGTGTGAAAAAGTAGAGAGAGAGAGAGAGAGAGAGAGAGAGAGAGAGAGAGAGAATAATAATTTATAAACATTATTACGCGAAACATATATGCCATAAAATGAATTGACTTCTAAATACAAATTCGCATAAAATCATATGAAACTGGCGATCTTTTTCTAAAAAGATCACCTGTGACTTTGCGTTTGGATGGATGATCCACCTGTGTCGGTGATGAATCGGTTGTAAGAATCAACCCTTCTCCGTTGTAAAGTGCACACTATCGCACAGGTACCTATCTATTTCCATACAGACTTACTTATTGAATATGAAAAAGGGGGAACTTGGCACCTGTCGGTAGCCGGGCCATGCAAATACTTACACATGATGAATAAAAAAGAGGGTTCGTAGCAAAGGGAAAGGGTTCTCGCCGCCTTATTCAGATTAGGGGCCCGCTTGTGGCATTTGAATGCGACCCTCCGTAATGCCACTTGATCCTCTTGATTTTACACTGCAAGTGTTTTCACCCTTCATTGCCAGACGGAACTCCACCCAGGGAGCGATCCTTTCGTACCGGAACGGACCGCACGGTACTTTAATAATTCATATTAACAATAGAAGACAATCGACGCGACATTGTAGAATAGATATATCGTCGGCACGACATTGTTGTGACATTACAGACCTTTTTCGAAAATGATTCTTCCTCGTTGGAGTGTCTTTCGCAATTTTCCTTGGTTAACAGTCAAGAGGGGGAAGAAAATATTGTGAGAACATGGACGATTCAGCGCTTCGCCAAGCGTTACCAATTATATCATGATGGAACATCTCTTTTAAGCTAGATACTCGTAAATCTACACTGAAGAATTTCGTTTGCGCGCATCTATAATAACTGACTATTAGAATCAGAGCGCGTACATATTATTCGCGCCTCTCTCGTGACTTTGTGTCGGTAGGGGCGTCATTAAAATCAATACCGGCTCGCTCTCTCCTCTCCGCTTCCTTCTCTTTTCGTTTCCCTCGCTATCGTCGTCCTTGTTCGCTTATCATCGCTATCCTCGTTGCACCATAAACGCGAGGGTGGCGGAATCGAGGTAGGGGTTGCCCCTTCCTATGTATCTGGCATGCGAGGCGAAGGACGAAGCGTTGGTGGGGACCAGGGCGAAGGAACGAGAGAGTCGGCGGGAGAGAAAAAGCACGAGGAAGACGAAACTTTGGGGAGCGAGGGGGAGGATGGCACGATAAGAGGAAGGCTGCGTTTGTGATGTGAGGTACGTGGTACATGCGATAAGGAGTGGGGGATAGCGTTCCCATGGCCAATAAGAACCTCTTTAAAGCGCCCTTTTTGCACGGAACTGCGCATGCCGGATTCAAATCTGGGCGAGCTAGGTATCGAGTGGCAGTAGGGGTGGAAGTGAAGCGACAATGGTAGTGGTAGAAGAGATGGTAGTAGTGGCGATAGCGGTGGTGGTGGACGTCGGCTGTATGGAAATATGATAGCGCGATAAGAAAAAGAAGAAAGGCAATGACGCCTATGTGTGTGCAACGCGAAGGGGATAGGCGTGGGTAGGGAGAGTGCTATGGTTCTCGCGACCAATAAAAGGGCCAGTTTAAAGCGCCTTATTTTTTGCACTGGCACTGCGCATGCTGAATTCAAATCTTGGGAGTGGTGAGGCTGGATGGATTTGTATGGAAATATGATAGGTGAGAGGTCGACATGGCGGCCGATAGAAAAGTTTATGGACGTTCGACCATTTTCGTCGATATTTTCGCGACGCATGTTCGTTGTCACTTCTTTAATGTTGCCTTTAATATTTCGAATAAATGTAAAATGTGCGTTAGATTCGCTACACACGATTAGGATCTTATTGATTTACGGGAAAATTTGATAAATGTGTAAAATATCACACATTCGTGATACCAAAGATTGTTTCGAGGTATGTAACGATGAATGTGTATGGGTTGCAAATTATATGTTATATTATTTTTCATTATATCATTCGTCTGGCATAGCTTCATTCATTTTTGAACGTCCGAAGCACTTACAAGAAAATTATATCGCCCTTTTTTTATTATAACATAAAGTTTGCATGCATTCATTTGCTGGATCTTGTATGTCAGTATTGGCAGAAACATCCCGTAGGCCAGCACAATAATCACATTGTTTGGCACATTGCCCTCGCGAGTAATCTCAACCTGTAACTGTGCCCACCTGCTGCCATATCTCATCGGTGTCAATCGAGCCGTAATACCATAAGCTCTCAATCGCCAGGTGTATCAATCCTAAGAATCTCCGAAGAAGAAATCTCAATGCGTTTATCATGAACTCATTAGTTGATGCACATTCTTAGTATATTCTTAAATATTAATCAATCACGCAGCCAATACTTCTTGTTTTGATCTTAAAAGCAGTACGCAGACATACAGAACTCTTTGCAAAATAATTTAACAAGTATTGATTTGCGGAGTCTCTGAAGTATTAAACAAATTATTATTTTGAAGAAGATTACTTTACGATATGTAAATTGAAATGTGCAAAATACTCTGTGAAACGCTTTACTTCCGACGAATAATCACAGTAGTCGAAAGGATAGAGACTTGCGTGGGTGGTCCAGCGTAAGAGGCTTCTTGCGAATTCTCCTCTAACTAATTCCATCTCCCGACTCTTGGTTACGTGCGCGCTGACCACACTATCTTACACCAACTGCGGTTGTCCGTCGTGTGTGTCCACGTGATATTTCCAAGATATTTAAATGGATACGCCGCACGCACGGTGGATTTTCACGTTGAGCGCATTTGGTTACCCTCAGCCTCGTCTGGTTCCCATTAGAGAAAACCGCGAAGAGAAGCATGCGAATCGAACCGGTCCGGTGCAACTCGCCGCCGGATTGGCCAGCTCCGGAATCAAGTCGAGTTTAATTCTTAAGCATTGGTCACGGAACGGGTCTTTAAGTATCAAGGTCTAATCGTCATCATCTCCACCGGGTAGGGCAGGTAGCACGGCGATTGGTTGCGAGTGTTGCATATGCAAATTCGTTTGCTTGCCCTCTCTTTTTCTCTCTCTCCCTTTCTCTCTCCCTCTCTCACGTCTCCTTCTCTCTCCCTTCGGCTTTGCGGACAGCAGCCGATGCACGCGAGATGAAAAAGGCGCGCTCGCGCTCGCGCGAGTTCCGCGGCCGGAGAACTCGCCTCTGGCTCGCCGGGCGGAGCCGCGTGCAATCCGCGTTTTCTCGCGATTGGAGACGGGCGTCCCCACCGACGCGTTGACTGCCCCCACCTTGGCAGTCGTGCAGGCTGTGTTGGACGCGGCCACGCTTTCCGTTCCACACGCGGCTCTCCTTGTCCCGCTCCTGTTTGATCGAGGCCGCCGGTGCTCCGTCCTTGTTGCGCGCGCACGTTTTCCTTGTTCTTCTTGGAGACCTAACAACTCCCCCACCTTGGGTTACTCCGTTCTGCGGCCGCGTTCGCCGTGGCCGGTAGGCGGCCGAGCGAACGTACGTGAGTCCTCTAGTGTAGCTGCACACATGCACGCGACAGCATCTGACCGCTGTACCACCAGCCGCCGCCGCCGCCGCAGCCGCAGCCGCAGCCGTAGCTACCGGCCGTCGTAGCGCGTCGCGTAAACTCTCGTCCAAGTGTGTCTTTGATCACGCCGAACGAGAAGGACGCGTCGACAGGTTGACCTGACTCATCCTGTTGACAGGTCGCAGGTAGTTGCTGCCATTGGCGCTCTCTATCGTCGTCACCGGCCGATTTGACACGCTGCGTCGTGACAGATCGGCGCTGATCATCGCACGTGTTATTCAGGATGACGTGATTATCTAACGAATAAGATACGACGGCGAAAAGTGGTAAATTGGTGTAGTGACCTGGGCTAGTCGAAATCGCGACCATTGACGATGGTGACGAGATAATGTTTGTTGATGAGTTCATCAGCAAGTAACTCTTATCTCTGGCACATGAATGACACTTGTAAATCATACTGCCGTAAAGGCTTCTCGCTGATCCGAGTGTTTGGAGCAAGTGCATGTCATCGGTAAAGAGACAACTCGGATCGAACTTTGAGGACGATTCGAGCTGGTGAGAGCAGTTCCGGCGCTTCACGTGCTCCACGGCTAATGTTTTGACAGTTATCTGACAGAAACGGCGCGAGGCCAAGAGATCGTAAAGATACGTTTGTGATGAGGCTAAAGATTATTTCTGCAAATAACAAGGACGGTCAGAGCTCAGGTATTTTACGCGGCGGACAAATCGTGCATTGGATAGTTACATCTTAAACTGGAGTACCTCGCTACCACAAGAACGTGTACGTGATTGTGCGACTCCCGAATGAGTGTAGTGCATTCTGCTAAGTACTGTGTTTTCAAGAACTCGGAGACATTGACTGGAACTCACGTGGAAGCGAGGGAAACTCATGTCGACTAGGACGCAGTGAATGTCGCGAGGTGTGATTTCCGTGTTAAGACCATTAGAAACAAGCAACTGTGGAATATCTCTTGGCTAATTGATTGAATCGAGTCCAAGTATAACGCTTCCAGGCGGTATTTCATCTTCAAAGCATCCTGCGAGCGATGATAGACGCGGGCCGCTAAGTTAGCAGCAAACCATCTCCCACTGTGTAGAACGGTGCGATCCTTCGTCAAGAGCAGAAACCAGCAGGTGACCACGTTGGATCTCGCGGCGTTGACTGCCTACGGGGGCGTTTCGGGACCCAGGGTCGCGGTGGCGGGCACCGGGGTCCTTGCGCTGCCCCGCTTGATACCCGACAAGGGTTTATCATCGCCCGGAGGCCAGTCGAAGTCAAAGTCAGCAGGGCTGGCGGGTCTCGACAGCGAGGCGGTGCGCCGGTGGGTCGCGGAGGCCACGCGAACCGTCCGGCAGTTGCCGCATTCGGTGGTAGTGCCCGTGAGTTCTCCGCAACATCAGCAGCAGCAGCATCATCGACAGTCACAGCAGCAACAGCAGCACCATCATCATACCACTCACAGGCAGCGTCAGGAACCCAGCCCACCGTCGGTGGGTCTCTCTTCCTTCGTTCTACCGGTATCGATGACGCAGACCCCCAGTATGCGTTTGCTGGAGAACAACAACTTGGTTGAAGTTGCCATGGCCCAGCAGCAACAGCAGCAGCAGTCCCAGCAGTCGACGCAGAAGCAGAAACAAACGAGTCCCACAAATAACAACACTATAGAAGCCTGGAGATCGATTCAAGGCGGGCATCAGTGGTGGAGTCCGCCCAGCAGTATTCAGCAAGAACAGCAGCAGCAGCAACAACAGCAGCAACAACAAGTATCGTCGATCGCGCAGGTTTCTCAACCGCAAAGTCTGGTGGCCGGATCGGTATGTGGCCAGGTGCAGAAGCATCAGCCGCAAGTGCAATCGGAAATCGATCAGCCGCTCGACTTTTCTGTTGGCTCGCTGCAGCAACAGAGGCTGCATCCGCGCGTGAGGACTATGCACGAGAGACTTCTTCGGGAGACGAGAGAGGGTAGGATGCATGATAACAACAACGGGACGAGCGGCCAAAAGATCATCAGGGGAGACGTCAGCAGGCGAAGCTATAGCCCCAGTGAAGCTAGTACCAGCAGCAGCGAAGACGAGGGTGTCTCTACTGGCGGCAGTCCTACGGGACCTCTTCGGGGCGCCTCGGGTGAGTGTCAATCAAATTACACACGTTTCGTTAGAGTTTGGGATATGTTCAGAGTCACCATGATTCGTTAATTTGTGATTATAAAGCTTAATACGAGAGGAAGGAAGGGAAGAAATTGCTCCGTTAATTCTCTCTTTTGCCCATGTGTTTTTTTATGTTAAAATTACACGATGGTTTACCACATTTTTACGAGTTTACATGACCAATTCTCTCAATTAATTATCTTAAAAAATGTTCGTAACATAACCGTTGTATGTATTTGAACTAAATAGCTGATGCAATCTTTTTAATCTCGTTAAGTAAACGTAGATTAAGTTTTATTCATTATCATTTCCCCCCCCCCCTCTCTCTCTCAAGTTATTTCATTATTAAGTGCAATCGACAGCATATTGATATGGAGGCAAATATAAATAAGTATCTATCTTTATCGCAATTTCTTCGCTCAATTAACAGACAATATTGCGCGACAGTTAAACAATTTGCTATTATCGATACTAAACCACGGGCATACGGACATTAAACAATCAAAATTATCTGATTAAATGTAGATTAATACGTTTATCACTGCAAACAACGGCAGGAATCAAGCATTTTGTGGAAAACGTTATGTTTGTCAGCTGCCGGCGCAGTCTGCCGTTGCATTCTCGACGCCCCCGCGCTGCATTGTTGCCATGGAAGCATTGTGCAGCATGGCATTGTATCGGATCATGTGGCCCCCTCCAATCGCGAGAAACGATTTATCCGAAACGACCGAATTTTGCATTAATGCATCTCGTTCCTACTATTCTGTGCACGGAACGCGTGCCAATTGAACTTGGGGGGGGGGGGGGCTACATTCACGTTTAGAGGATACATTTATTTTAAAAGGGAGAATCACTATGCGCTTGTACTTTGTATGAGGATAGACTACTGTTCATGGCGTTGTTTTTAACAATGATACGTGGCCATTCGATGTTATTTATTGCTCCTAAAAGTAATAATCTTGCGTATTGACGTATTAGACATCCAGGTTATTGTGCAGATTACTATGAAGATGTTACGACGTTTTCATCGTCATCATGGTGAGGAATCGGTGACTAATCGGTACTCTTTAACGTTCCACTATCTTGTCAACGCGCATACGCGCATTTGTAAAATTAGGTGGAGTGCTATCTGTGTTAAGACGAGTTTAAGAATCGATATCACGCGCATTAACAGATAACCGAGTCACCATCAATCGCTTTGACGGTAATTTCTATGCCGAGACATCGATCGTGTAATTTCAATCAACGCTGCTCGCGTCAATTATTCGCTTATGATATATGCTCCGTCTGCGCCCCGTCTTTGGACGTTATTAATTAGGTGCAAAGTTGCACACGCGGGCTTATTAATAGCCGCGGCACACGCGCCGCACGTTTCTGCTTTCAATTCAGAATTACCGGTTCCTGATAAACGTGCGATTCACGGTTGCTGCACGTGTCGTTTATAACGTATCTCTTTCGCTCGTCAACAATCGCGCAACGTACACCTAGATAAAATCTTGAGTCGTGCCGGTATCGCGTGATAAAATATGTAATGAATAGTTACCGGTTAATAGTAGACACACATTATGTCCCATAAAAGTGGTTTTGCAAAAAAATTTACTTCAATTTTTACAGAAGAAGTTACAAGGGTCGACAAGAAACACACATTCTAGGCCATCAATTTATGTTATTATTGTTTACATTCTTATATTGGTATTATCATCATAGTACAGGTCACTCGTCAATAAAATTCATTAGAAATTGCCTTAATAGAACAGGTAATCATGATAAAAGAGGAAAAAGTATTGATTAACGTGGATAGCTGTTAGATCTGCTAAAAGATCATAATTTTTACAGGCCGCCTCTATTAACTGCGATATGCGACGCGATAAATTGAAAATTAATAACGTGGAAGTTGTTGTTAATGTACGTTGATTAGCTGCGATAAGCACCAGATCGAAAGGATAGGCAGAAAAATTACTAACCAATTGATACTATTGATAAAAATGCGTATCGCCTTAGTCGGTCCGATGTTGTTAATCTATGGCAATTACGCGACGTCTATGTATTCCTCGTATTCAAGCACCTGATATCGAGGTTATCCGCATGATAAGTCCTTCCTCTACATAGTTGCACTAATATTTAAAAAAAAATGCAGTGGTAAATATACGAGTACGGTGCTGCGTACGAACGAGAAGGAAAAATGATCGTTATCGTATCAGTCGATAACGTCTTAGCTCTAGTACTTGTTTGAATAAATATTCCACGTAGTTGTGTGATTGCATGGTTATTTTCGGCGTACGCTGAAGTCGTGACTCAAAAAATCTTAGTAAGTCGTGCATAAGTCAATCGATACATTTTTATCTTCGCCGATTGAGATTAACAAATATTCATTTTGTACTGAGAACAATTATTGCACCAAATCAAAACGAGTGTAATTAATCGATTGACTGTAATCAATTAACTACGATGAATGTAAAAAGTATTCTAGAATTGACTGATTGGGATAACTGCTTTGATACGAATTTATATTCGCGAATTTATGAATACGAATACATGGGGGATTGTACGAAAAATTAACGTCTAATGTTTCAAAGAATTATTTTGATTATCTATTCATAACCAACGATGATGATTCCATGTCTCGTCCTTGATGAAAGTGCGCGCAGAGTATGGGCAGTTCCAGGTACACGTTTCACAGGGCCGAAGGACCTGTTCGCTGCTAGCCCGGGTGTATTACGATGTAACCCGATACACGTTTGATTCTATGTTATTTACGGGCAGGTGTATCGGCGCAACAATGTTTATCGGCGTAATTAGATTCTATCCCTACGTAATCTTTATCACACGTCGATGAGTTGCGGCGCGGCGAAAATCATGCTTTCAGAACGCGCACACGCACGATGATAATAATTTTCTCGTACACCTTCCCTACATTGATTTCGATTGTCACGCCTTTTTACTGCCGATTGATGAATGATCGGCAAGGGCTACGTAACGCAATTTCTAACATTTCATATACGTCAAATGTTTGCAATATAAACGGTTTTTGATAAATATTTACGTAAAAGAGAAATTAATGTTTTCGTATTAAATTTGTACAATTAAAATATTCTTTAATGAGACGCAAAATTCAAAATATGCAAAATGAAAAAATCCTTCCGGCTCGTGTGCTTTTCTAATAGAATCAACAAATTTGTTTCTCTAATCAATATATTCAAAACACCTATATTTTTAAATCAAGCTTATTAGTCGACATTAACCGGCCAGTGTTTTAATACAGAAAATTTATTGCGAAAAATATTACCTCACCCAGAGTTTGAACCTGGACTTCCCTTCTCTCTAGGCGGGCGTCTCACCATTTCGACCACTGAGGCATGCCATGCAATAAATTTTCTCTATTAAAACACTGACCGGTTAACGTCGACTAAAAAGCTTGATTATTGTTATCTATTACTGGCAACTTAAAGAGATTTATATGTTTGAACTTATATTTTTTGTTCCTAAATATTTTGAAATGCTTCGAGACATATTTTATCGATTGATCACTCATTTCCGTTTATTTGCGCTTAATTCGACTAAAGCTGCACGAATCTGTTTGATGTAGAGCGGCAAAACGGCAATGGCAATTCGCGATTACCGATTAGAGCCCTTATTGGATTCATCTTTTTCATCATGATCGTTTCCACTAACTACCTCCGAGAGCCGCCGTGTTCCTTCCTTCATTAGCGTTTTCTGTGACTCGTCTCGAGTGCATTCGAGTGCCGTCGGATCACTCGCGTGCGGAAAATTAGACGGCCTTCCGATTTGTGAGAGTACTCAGGAGGTACACTCCGATCCCTCTCGCGCTCCTCGCTTCGTAATCGGTGATCTTCGAGCTTCAAATGTGTCGACGGAAATTCTGCGAAGTCCATTCTCGTCTTAAACGAAACCCAAACCCCCGAAGGATCTCGTTATTTAGGTAGTCATTTTCCTCTCGATGCGCTTGAAAGTTCCTTAGCCTCTGCGTCTGTATCCTTAGCCTAGGCATTACTCATCTTTCGAGACAATGCCTTGCAAAGGTTATAAAAATGTATAAATAATAGCGAACTTATAAGAAATAGCAGTGTGCTAAGTTTTAAATTTACTTTTCAATCATTACTGTTCACTCGCTGCAGTATTTTGAGCTAGCAACAGCTGATCGCTATACAGACACATAAACATCGTCATTTGACTACTCGCGTTGGAGTATACGCTTGCGATAGTTGCGGCTGCTGCTCGGGATTATTAATCAGTCGCTGACTAACGAGATACTAATTAATTATTCAATTGTACATTAAGTCGCAGCGTGCAGTGAGAAAGCACGCGATTGAGCGCGCGCGTTATCCTCATTCTGTTTTATGCCGGTCCCCGCGCGTGTCATTAACTTATGATTAGCCGCATAAAGTCGGGGCGCGCATCGATAAAAAATGTATATCGATGCGACCAGCGCATCGGCGATGCCCCGTATCGGCCAGGCATTTCGTTGGGATCTGCTCGACGTCGGCAGTCGATGACGGATAAAATCGCATTTATTGGCTCGCGCCAGATTAATCGCGACCGAATAATATATTTATCTTTACTGCCCGGCCCGAGTCTCCACGGCCGTATACGAGTGAAACGGCCTTTATCGATCGGCGATCTCTCGCTCGCGTCACTCGAGAAACGAAGGCTTGGCTTGAAGATAAAAAGCCGACGCGCTAAAGAGGCGGCCGGAAGCGCGCGGTACCTTGCACGGGCTAATACGCACAATGACTATGAATACATAAAGACGCGTTATCAAATGGGATTTGTTCAGCGGATAACGCAGCCAAGGGAAAAGCTGCGCATATAATAAAAAATGAAAATTAGTGCTCAAATTAAAATTTGAGCTCTCTTGATTCGCCTGCGAACAGTACTACGATTTCTCTAGAAAGCAAATTAATATTAGCAAAGTGTATGAACGCAAATAAATAGCTGCATGAGTAGACTGGTAATTAT